ATTCCAATCCCGTACAAAACAAAGCATTCCGAAAGTTAGTATTAATGTTTAGAGAAACTTCGAGAAGGCAAGTAATGCTTTAGAAACACATTGTAATAAACTAAAATCGTGTACTTATCAGTCTAATAGTTTCGTCAAAAATATCGGGGACCCATGATTCTGTGTGGTCCATATTCAGTCACATACGTTAGTTCGAAGTAACGGTAGAAAAAGAAGACTATATAAATACCAGCCAAGGGCACAAACGTACAGGAAAACGACAAGAATTGAGATGAGATTGATTTGCTACCATCTTACAGCGTAGCGTTGTAGATGTTATTAGATGACTTACTGCTTATACGCGGTGAAAATAGTGCTGCGTTCTTGATGTTAAAACTTAGGACATTTGAGTACTTCTAACCTTAAAACTTCTAAAAAAGTTAGGAACTCAGAATAGTGAATTCTCAAGTCACGCCTTAGTGATAACTATGAGCTAATACTACTTCATCCACTATCAGCAGAGCCGTTCTTCGCTGCCTTGATTTTAGCGTGCTCTAGAAAGACTCTGCATAAATGCAGTAAGATCTTTGTTGAGAATGCGCGGCATGTTGCTAGGATATAGTGTAAAACCCAGGCTTAATATCCATGCGCTTGCTACAGCGGGTTACGACCGTCGGTTTAGATCAATAAACGAATGCTCGCACTCGAAAATCCCGTTTGACGAGAACAAGATTGGCTAGTCCTGAAGCTCGGGCTGCGATGATCTCGAAGGTTTGCAGGGACGTGATTCAGGCAGTCTCCTTTTCTCGAGCTCTGCTCGCAGGGTGACTACTTCAACTTACGTTGAACGCTTCTGACGCGCAATTGTGTCAAAAGTACTTCATAATTTTTGAGTCTTTTAATTGTTGTTTTGTATTATGCAATAATATTTGACATACACTGTAAGAGTTCCACTTTATACTTGCCTCCAATCGTGGTTCACGTTTATCGACAAATTGAGCTTTAATATCAATATTTTTCTCTTCAGGTGGTTGGCCGCCCATATATGCCCCCGTACTGGGGTCTGGGATTCCACCTTTGCCGCTGGGGATATGGAAGTTTAAATGGCACTATGACAGTGAATGACAACATGAGGAAATATGGCATTCCGCAGGATGTTCAGTGGAATGATATTGAGTATATGGATAGGCATCTGGACTTTACCGTTGACAATAACAACTGGGGAGGTCTAGGAGATTTTGTAAAGAAACTGCATGGCCAATATCATCAACATTACATTCCAATTGTGGTGAGTTGCTCTAGTCTAAGTTAGCCCCCTAATTTCAGCGATCTTCTAGAGTCGCAAACTCTCT